TCCTTTTTCATTCCTCTTCACAGATTCGTTCTTGTATATACATAGTGGAAGTATTAGTCGAAGTTTCGTTTTGTTTTTTTCTTTCCTCGTTCGTTTTTTCTTTTCTTTTTTTTTTTCTTTTTTTTTTTGAAAAACGATTTTCAGAAAAATCAATTTCACGATAGAGAAAATAGAGAGATAATTGTTCTGTCTGTTTATCTCGTCGTCGCGATAGAATTGTTTCATTCGAGAGTAATGATATTAGAAGTATTTCAAAATGAGAAAGCTCTAGAGAGATAACGTACAAGATAAGCTTTTTGTACAGAGTTTTTTTTTTTTATTATATAGCTTTTTTTTCCCCCGCCCCCCTTACTCTGCGTATTTCTCTCTCCCTTGTTTTTTTTTTTTTTTTTTGAGCATTTTAGAAAAAAATCTTTTTTTCGTATAAAGAGGAAGGGTGTGTGAGTGTTTTCACGGGATGATACGGTTGACAGTCACGGAGCGAACGATGCTAATTTCTCACGCTCCGAGATTCCGTCAAAATTTAACACACCGGCCCTCGTGTTAATATAATGAACTCTGTTTTGGTGACGTTGCAGTGACCACGCCGCTGTTCACACCTGCAGTGGGAGTTGCCGCCGCGAGTGCTGGTGGCGCGGGCGGTGGCGGGGCGAGAAGTTACGTCGATCCTCACACGTACGAGGACCCGAATCAAGCTGTACGAGAATTCGCGCGGGAGATCGACGCGGGATACATCACGATAGAGGCGATCATAGGTAACGATCATCATTTTCCTCTCTCGTTGAATGAAGAATACACGCGTATACGCGAAAAATTCCTCGATCCGATCTTGCTTGCTAATTGTTAATTTCTCTCTCTCTCTCTCTCTCTCTCTCTTTCTCTCTTTCTCTCTCCTTTTCTTCCTTTCCCTCGTCTCGTACGAAACACGAAATTGGACACAGGTGGAGGGGAGTTCGGGGACGTTTGTCGGGGTAAATTGAAATTACCGCCGGACGGTCGGACAGAGATCGACGTTGCCATCAAGACATTGAAACCCGGCTCGGCGGATAAGGCGCGCAACGACTTCTTGACCGAGGCATCGATCATGGGCCAGTTCGAGCACCCGAACGTGATATTCCTGCAGGGCGTGGTGACCAAGAGCAACCCGGTGATGATAATCACCGAGTTCATGGAGAACGGGAGCCTGGACACTTTCCTACGCGCGAACGACGGCAAGTTTCAGGTGCTCCAGCTTGTGGGCATGCTGCGAGGGATCGCGAGCGGGATGCAGTATCTGGCCGAGATGAACTACGTGCACAGGGATCTCGCAGCGAGGAACGTGCTCGTGAACGCCGCCCTCGTTTGCAAGATCGCCGATTTCGGGCTTAGCAGGGAGATCGAGAGCGCGACGGAAGGAGCGTACACGACCAGGGTAAGTGGTGAAGCCTTATTTCTCGTACCCCCCCCCCCCACCCCCTTTTTTTTTCTCTTCCAACGCGGAATTCTTTTCATATACTTTCGAGTCGAACGCGAATCATCTTGACTTGTGATTTGACTTGCGGCAAAAAGGGTGGGAAGATCCCGGTGCGATGGACAGCTCCGGAAGCGATAGCATTCCGAAAATTCACCAGCGCTTCCGACGTGTGGAGCATGGGGATCGTTTGTTGGGAGGTGATGTCGTACGGCGAGAGGCCGTATTGGAACTGGTCCAATCAGGACGTGATAAAGTCGATCGAGAAGGGATACAGGCTTCCAGCGCCGATGGATTGCCCGGAGGCGATCTATCAGCTGATGCTCGATTGTTGGCAAAAGGAGCGAACTCATCGCCCCACTTTCGCCAATTTAACGCAAACTTTGGACAAACTGATACGGAGCCCGGACACGTTGAGGAAAATCGCCCAGAACAGGTAAAACCTTCTTCCTTTTCTTCTTCTTCTTCTTCTTCTTATTCTTCTTCTTATTCTTATTCTAATTCTTTTTCGCTCTTCACTCGATATTTTCATTGTTCAACGTCGCGCTATCGATTCGCGTGTTTCGCGTATATATATATATATGTGTGTGTGTATATCGTGTATAACGAAAGATATCGAAATATTTATTCGCAGGGGAAAAAAAGAAAAAAAAAAAGAAAAAAGAAACGCTTTGTCACGTGCCTTCATCGAAAATAATTCGGCAGGCTCCGGAGGACGAGACAAGATTAGACGCGACGTTTTAGACAAGATGTTTTTTTTTTTTTTGGAAACGCGGTTTCCTTTGGAAAGGAACGTCGGGAGCCTGTACCTACCGAATTGTTCTCCAAATCATCTCTTAACACGAATCATGCCGCATGCTGATTTGCGAATCACACTTCGTGTCCATAAATTAATTTCTCTCGACAGCCAAACAATTTCTTTCTTTTTTTTTTTTTTTTTCTTCCCCGTTTTCTCCGCTCGTTACTCAATGGAGAAGAAGCTCACATGCTCTGCGCTCTTCACGTACGCTCTTAGCTCTGGGCTTTGATGTTGTTTGCTCATATACATATCGTATACATCGTAATTAAGGATTAATCTTAAAACGCTTAAAACGAATAATAGAGAGAGAGAGATATATATATATATATTGGCCGTCAAGGAATAATCACGATGTGTGTGTGTCTACCCGATCCGAGAGAGAATCGTGTGCACGTGTCGTCCAAACTCGTCGAGTACGTCGATATTTTCGATACATCAATACCTGATTGGCATTACTGGAAACGGGCATATAGTTACTGGACTGATCTTTTTCGCACCTTTTTTTTTTTTTTTCTTCTTAAGTTCTAGTAACTTTCGACCGACATTTTCTTTTTTTCGAAGAAGCTACTTATTTCTCTCATTCTTTTCTTTTTTTTTTTTCTTTTTTTTTTTCTTTTCTTTACGTTCTATTTCCGTAG